TATACTGTACACCCTAATTATTAGGAAGACTGATTTTGTTCCTTTGAACGATTCATCACTCTGGGGCAATTTAACGGCATCGAGGGTATTGATGAAGGCTTCATGCTTCACCTACCGGGAATCTGGTAACTTCTGGGACAAGAGTGCAATTCACAGGAGAGGGAAGGCTTTTGGGCAATATCAGTGCATTCTGTGGAGGCAAAGGACAAATCCATGACTTGGATGTCATCCTGGGCAGTCAGATAGCTGGCTGTTTGGCAATATGGAGCCTCCTTCTTGACAAGAACTTGGGGTGGCAGACTTTTAAAATGAGTTTACTTGCTTGTGGTTATTTTTGACTTGTTTGGATATAGACTGGGATAGGGTGTGACTGGTGCACTGAGACACTCTGAGCCTGGCTTCCTAGCCTGGGCGTGGCCTTGTGCCTCTGCACTCCCATCTCCCTTGCCCTCTAAGTCCCCTGGAAGGCCGGCTGCCCACAGAACCCAGCTGGCTGGAGCTTGCTGACCTCCAAGTGGTTGAAATGCACATATCCGTCTGCCTCCTTGTCATCTTTACCTTACCTGAGCACATGCTGATAAAAGACATGCTCTGAGAGTCTCTGGGAAAGGCAGGACTGTTTAGGGAAGCTCAGTTAGGGTCGGTGTCTTCTTTTTTTTTTTTTTTTTTTTTTTTTTTTTTTAGGAGGAGATCAGCCCTGTGCTAACATCCGCCAATCCTCCTCTTTTTTTGCCGAGGAAGACGGCCCTGGGCTAACATCCGTGCCCATCCTCCTCCACTTTATATGGGACGCCGCCACAGCATGGCTTGCCAAAGCAGTGCGTCGGTGCGCGCCCGGGATCCGAACCAGCGAACCCCGGGCCACCGCAGCGGAGCGCGCGCACCCAACCGCTTGCGCCACCGGGCAAGGGTCCGTGTCTTCTGCCTCACAAGACTCTGTTGTATTTATGAAAGTTTGCCAAGGAGACGTCAATGAGTCAACAAATACCTTCTTAAAATGTAAGTGCTTCAGGGAGGGCTGAGGGCCAACCAGCCTCTCGCATCCTTGTGGAGTCCATTCAGTTAGGTGCTCACCTAGCATCTCCTCTCCTCCTGACATCTCACCCAGCTGTGGCGGGAGGCAGTGAGGGGCGTGGCAGTGGTTGGGGCAGTAGGAGGGAAGAGGGGCTCCAGAGAAGGGAAAAGGGAGAGGCCACAGGGAGCAAGTAAGGAGGATCCCATGCCCAAGCTTAGCCCAACTGAACTTTCTCCTGAGGATCACCCCATGCCTGGAGGCAGAACAGAGCCTCTCTCCCTCTCTGCCCTCCCAATCCATGGGTTCTTGGCCAGCCTCACCACGTTAAACACACTTTTGTGCACTGGTCCCTATAAGACATTTTCTGGGGCAAGTTCTGAACAACCCATGATCACCTGTTACCTGGAAATGACTGCTCCCAGCAGTGTTGTGGGTGAGGATGGCTGTTAGTGGGTTCCGACGAAGTCTCCCTCCCAGCATTACGTCCCTGAGTCCCCTCCACTCTGATTCTGGGCTCTGCTATGTGGCTTTGCTTGATCACTTGCCCAGCAGAGGGACATGTCTTCTTGGGGCATGTTGCAGCCAGGGAATCCTGGTATCTTACTGCAGAGCCCACAGAAGAGAACCAAGGAGCCCTGGCTGACACCCAGCAAACCACCAGACACATGAGTGAGGCATCTCAGATCCGCAAGCCCCAGCTGAGCTGCCAGATGAACTGCAGCTACATGAACGACGCAGGCAAGCCCAGCAGAAGAACCACTCATATCGCAGAGTCACGAGCAAGGAGATGATTGTTATTTGAATCCACTAAGTTATGGGGTGATTTGTTACTCAGCCATATGAATGAGACACTAGACATATGTGTGAGCTGTGTGTTGACTGTCGCTGTTTCATTAGAGTCCCTAAGGGTAACCCAACAACATGGAGAAACGGGGTGTGCATGTTAATTGTTACACACGTGGGACGAGCCTGCACTTCACTTGGAAGTTTTTGAGTAGTTTTATAAAGCTCGTGACCCGGCTAAAAATACCGTAGAGGGACAGCTCTCCATGTCAGGACTGGCCTCAGAGTGTTCAAGCGCATGCACCGTTTTGTGATTAAACTTTGGACAGAGAAAAGCATAACAAGTACTCCAAGTAGACCATTGTCTGTTAGGACACGGTGCTGCCCATGTACAGATTCCACACGAGGTTAGAGAATTTCCCCCCACCCCACGATGGGAGGCTGTCTTTCCTGGCTTATTGAGTGTCAGTGAACATTTTTGTGTTCGTTTTCTCCCATGTTTCAGGCTGCAGGGCTTTTATCATGTCTCACTGTTTTGGGTCCAAGATGGCAGACTTCCCATCCACAAAACGACACCATCAACAACCAACGGATCTGACGCTGTGGGAAGTGAGCACAATGGCTTCCCTCTTACTCCCTGCCATGCGCAGGTCACACAGTTTCTGGTAAGTGGTGGTGGTGGTGGAAATGGCGGTGTCAGAGGGTCCTCCCACTGGGCTCTGCACTGGCAGGTCCCCTGGCCTCTCTGTGCTTTACTTCTGTGGTTTCTTCATCCACCCATTTATTTGTTCAGACATACAACAGACATCTGCTGTGTGCCTGGTTCTGGGTGACAGTGGTGAGCAGGTCGGATGGTGGAGGCATACTTCAGATGATGACATCTGAAGTCCATTTCAGTCCTAAAAGATGAGTTCTGTGGTTCGAAGCCACAGGAGTAAGTGATGGTGCTGCCTAAGCCTTGACCGTTCTGAATCCTTTAAGGAAGGAGAAGCAGCAGCCCCCTGGGCCCCACCGGCCACTCTCCTTTTGCTCTAATGTGAGACTGAACCCCAGGCACCCTGTGTCTCAAGGGTGTACTACTGTCTGAATCTTCCATCCATGCATCCTCACGCCTTCCTCTCAGATGGGGCACCTGTCCTGCACACGGCCCCACAGAGGACCCACTTATCCTGCTCCCTAAGACACTGAGTGCAGGCTGAGCCTTTTTCAGGGGTCCAGACCAAAGGGCCACATATACGATCTCCACCTGTGGCTGTCAGCATGTCCCTGTGCTGTGAGAGCCATGTGTCTAGATGGCTCTGATCAGAAACAGGTGGTCTGACATGGAGCCTCAGCCCTGAGCTTGGAAATGTGGTCGCCAAACCACAGAGCTCTGAGATTCCCTTCCAGGCAAACGTCAGGATGTCCAGGGGGTTGGATGCTCATCGTGTCCCTTTCCTATTAACGTTTTTGTGGTTCAGAACTTACTTTTTAAGCAAAGAAGAGAATTCTGTGTGCTTCTTGAGTATAAAGTGCACAGAATGAAATAAAGTCAAAAAACATCTTTGGGATCCAGAGAATAAGCTTTCAGATATGTGTGTTTATACACATAGAAAAAGGTTAAAACCCAGCAATTTGGAAGTTTAAGATCCTTCAATTCCAGGGATAACGTCAGTAGTTAGGGCCCCAGAGCACCTCTGCAGACACGGGGTGCAAAGCGTGGCACTGCTTCTCTAAGTCAGAACTTGGAGGAAAATGTGCTTCCTTTTGGGCCTGGAATCCTGGGTGCCATGGTGCTGGGCACTTTGTTTTGGTAACATTGCTGTTAGGAATATGTGAAACATTAGATTAGGACAAAATTACAGAAGACGGGGTTAGTCCAAGGACTCTGAAATTGATACTTGTTTATAGAAGATGTAAGTTCAAGGCTTTAATTAGGAATCTATTTACTTTGGTTTAAGATATAAGTCTAACAAATTTGATCTTCTGATTTTCTAACCTCTCACAGATGGAAAATAAAAAATTGGAAAGTGGTGTGAGCTCAGGGCCCCCAGAGACGGGAGCCTGAAAGCCCCAGAAGTGAGGGTTGGCAGTGTGACAATAAGAAAGAGGCAGAAAACCCAGAGAAGCTGCGTGTATGGTGGGGCTTCAAATGCAGCTCTATGGGGCCATTGGGGTCCAGGGAAACTGCTCTGCATTCCTGCAGAGCCCCATGGCAACCCTGCCGCGTAAGGACCTTTATCAGCAGACGCTGCTGAGGTGCATCTGCTCCCCAGTGGGTCACAGCACCGCCGGGGTGACTTCCATCCAAAGCTGCATTTGAGGGAGGAAGTTGTGTTTATTTGAAGAATCCATATGCCTAGAGGTCCTTGTCCCCTGCCAACACCCGGCAAATGAGTGGTGCTTGTGCAGTAACCTACACGGGGGCCGTGAAGTGGTGCCCGGAGGGGAGAGCACCAGGGTATGAGAGCAGAGCAGAAGAGAGAGCCAAATTAAAAACACCTATGACTAGTTCAAGCTATGGGTGTCCAAGGCTCAATTACACGCAGGTGTCCAGGTGGCTCAGTGATGGTCCGGGAGATACCAGGTGGGAGCAGATGGCAGCAGGAGGGCCCACCAGGTTATAACCAGGGTCTTCCCAGGAGTAAGGCCATTCCTGCCGTCCACCACTGGCCTCACTTGACCAACACTGACAGTGACCTGCTACATTTGCAAAGTCCCTCCAAGTGTCCCATCGCTGGAGCCTCACAGCAACTCTGTGCCTAGGCCTGGCTCGGCCGGCAATCCCCTCCTACGCTGGCCAGCTGGGCTGAGGCCCCATCACGTCCAGATTTGCCGGCAGCTCTGCACTTGACCGGTGAGGTGGAGCGCCCCTCCCCGCTGCCCCCAGGTGACTGTGACCCCGGTTTCCAACACCTACCTGGAGCTGGAGGTCATGGCTGCCCTGTGTGGATGCAGGCGGCCAGGCAGGGTCAGGAGGGCAGCAAGGCAGGATCGGGCTGGGCTGTCCCCGGGGTCTGCTCACAGCACCTGGGGCTGGGACGGCCAGTCTGTCCTTGCTCTGCCTTGTGGGCTCCGCTGAGCTGTTGCCATGGCTGCCGCCTGTACCTGGGGAGTTGCCCTTGGAGTCAGGGGTGGGGAAGGGGCCCAGCTGTGGGGCCTGGGGAATGATGTCTCTTAGGCAGCCACCTGGGTGCTGGGCATTTGGCACCCTTCCTCTCACCCAACTGTAATTCTCCTGGGTCTGCAGCCCCATCTGCACCCACTGCTGCTTGGTGGCCGGGCCGGGGTCTGCACCACGAGAGCCCTGTATAGCCAAGGGTTCCTGTAGAAGCACCTGGCAAGGACAGGTAGGGCTCCCCATGAGCTGACTTCCCCTCAGGGAGCGGGGTGGGTGCTCTTGACTCCCAAGTGTATCCTCTGGTATACCTGGTGCCCCTTGCACAGACGGGGGCAGACCTCTACACAAGTTGGGAGGAAGGTCACTGGCTGGCCCTTCCCATGAAAGACGGGGGTCGGCCACAGCTGAATGTGTGTGGCTGAAGGAGTCAGGCTGGGCCTGCCCTGCTCCCTGCCCTGCCCCCACCTCCATGGGGACCACTACTGGCTGGCCCTGGATAGGGGAATCCCAAATGCTGACCAAGGGATGGGTAGCACATGGGTTGACACAGGAGGTGGGGTCTGAGGTGATCAAAGGCCCCTGACACTGACCACTGTGTGTGAGTGTCCAGGGCATGGATTCTTTGCAAAGATCCAGAACATCAGGGCCTGGCTGAGCCAGGTGTCCAGGAACATTTTCTCCCAAAGAGAGTGGAGGTGTGTGGGTTGGCGGAAATGCCTGGGCAGGCTGGCTGGGACTGGAGGCCTTGGGTAGTGGGCTGAGGTCAAATGTTGCTGGTTTCTGGCATATCCCCAAATCTACAGGTGCTGCGTGGCTGTGCTGAATCTGCCTCTGTGGTGGGCTCTGGAGTGAGGGGCCAGAGATGGGTAAATGCTGAGGCTGTGCTTGAAGGCAGCTGGGAGCTGTGTTTATGTCCTGAGGGGGAGCTACTTCCCTGCCTGGCTGGGCTGGGCCCAGAGAAGACTGTGGCCTCAGGGTCTGCAGAGCAGTTGTGCTGGCGCGGGAGGGCAAGCCCACACTCCCTCCGTCATGAAAAAGCGCCTCCTTCATGCTGTGGGGGCCCCTCCCCTGGCTGGGTGGCAGCAGGCAGCAGTTCTGAGGCCCTGCAGAGTCCAAGTCAGCCCTGAGAAGGTTCTCTCTCCACAGGGGCTGGAGAGTGGAGCAGAGGTCAGGCTGCTCTTCTGTGTCCTTCTCCAGCAGGGTCTCGATGAGGGCCAGGAGAGAGCTGTCTTCCCCCTGCTCTTCCTCCTCCTTCTCCTCATGCCTGTCATGGGACACCCCCCTCTCCAAGGGGGAGTCTCGGCGGGTGGGGGTGATGTGGGACAGGTGCATGGATTCATCTTGTATCATGGTTCCAAGGAGAGAGCACCAGTGCGCAGGACCCTGGCCAGTGGGGGAGCCCTTCCTTGCCCTGGTCCTCCTCCTGGCTGGGAGGTGGGTCAGGGGGCCCACAGGGCTGCTCTCATACAGGACGGCCTCCCCCGTGGTGAGGGTGAACGGCAGCTGCAGGGCCCGCTTGTGCAGGTGCTCCTCCCCCTCCGCGTTCCTGAAGATGAGGAAACACAAGAGCAAGTCTGAGGATGGGGACGTGAATGAGAAAGGGGTCTTCTGGCCAACGGACAGAGTGGCCAAGTAACCAAACAACTGAGCAAGGGGGCAGGACATCATCTGCTCTGGTTTTTCTACCCAAGGAAGAAGCAGCCATAGTACTGAACTTGCTTCTCTCTTGTATTTTTTGGAGAATGAAGTCTTGATCAATACTTTCTATCTTGGATTCTGAAATAGTCTCTGAGGAAACCACTTATTTGTGGGGTGAGTATTCCAAAAATCCATGTAGAAATTCCCTAAACTTCAAGTTTATTTTGAAGAGAAAAAATCATGACACAAATACGATATATGCAACTGTTTTTCACTGGGGAAAATAATCTCTCCCTTCCTTCCTCCCCTCCTTTCCTTCCAAAAGACACATGGGACACGGCTGCTATAGGGCTGTTGTGACAGTCATGTGACACCATGCTCAGCAAGGTGAGAACCTCCCTTTTTTGGCCTGACTTCACTTGGAACCCCACAAAGGAAAACTGACTAAACTAAACTACAGTGTCTTTGGCAGAAGCTGACCAGGATGGTGTGGGCACAGGAAAACCCATCACGGGAGGGACCTTTAGAGAAGCTGGTATCTCGCCCAAAGATCTCCTGTCATACCCTTTATCTTTAAGACTATTTTGACATTAACACAGCCACTCTGGCTTTCTTATGCTTACTGTTTCTTTTTTTTTTTTTTTTTTTACATCCGATTACTTCCAACCTATTTGTGTCACTATTTTAAAATGTATCTCTTGTGGAAGGCATATTGTTGAGTTCTGCCTTCTTATCCATTTTGACAATCTGTGTCTTTTAATTGGAGTGTTTTATGCATTAACATTTAACGGGATTATTGATATGGCTGGATTTAGTCTTCTGTATTACTATTTGCTTTCCATTTGTCCCCTCTGTTTTTTTCTTCCTGTGTTCTGTTCATTCATTTCTTGCCTAGATATGTGAGTTTTTTTTAGAAGTTTATTTTAATTTACATACTGAATTTTTGGCTATATCTTGTGCACTATATTTTTTATGGTTGCTCTAGGAATTACAATATACACCCTTAACATTTCAGTGTCTAGTTAGAATTAGCACTATGCCACTTTACCTAAAACATACGCACCTTGTAACTGTATAGTCTATGCACTCCCAATAACCATCTTTTATGCTAGAGTTGTCATATATAGTACACCCACATGTTATAAATTTCAAGCTATGTTATCACTTGGGTCCTTATTGACGTTGGGCCCTCACTCTCGGCCCTTATTGATGTTGGGCCCTCACTCCCGGCCCTTATTCAGGTTGGGCCCTCACTCCCGGCCCTTATTCAGGTTGGGCCCTCACTCCCAGCCCTTATTGACGTTGGGCCCTCACTCCCGGCCCTTATTGACGTTGGGCCCTCACTCCCGGCCCTTATTGACGTTGGGCCCTCACTCCCGGCCCTGGACACGTTGGGCCTTCACCTCTGGTCCTTACTTAGTTAGGCCGTAACTTCCAGCCCTTATTGAGGTTGGGCCCTGACTTACGAGAGGACGCTCACGTACAGCGGGGCCTTTATTTACGCCCTGTTTCCCGATTACCCTTAGTGGGGCCCTCGCGTAGGACAGGACCCTCACTTACGTTAGGGCCCGCTGCCGCGCCACGATGCAGTGGGGCTGGCCGCTGCGGAACACCAGGCGGGCGTTGGCCTGCACCCACAGCCAGCCGGCTTGCTTGGTGAGCAGCCGGAACACGGTGAGCCCGCTCTCGCCCGTCCTCATCACTGCGGAGAGAGAGGGGGCGCTCGCGTCCCACTTGCCCTCCCTCCAGCCCTCGGGAGTCTGCGCTGCGGGAGGAGGCAGGCAGCGGGCGGAGGCGCAGAGATGTGCGAGGACTTGCCCCACCTCCCAGGGGCGGGGTTGGGCCCGAGGGTGCCTCCCGAACTCACTCCGCACGTGCTTCTCCGCGCAGTACATCATGTCGGCCGTGTGGATGAACTGGTAGCCCGATCCCCTCCTGCAGAGTTCACTCTCCGTGTAACCCAGGACCACCTTGCCTCTGCGTAGAGGAGACACCTCACACCCTCATCTTACAGCCAAAAGGAAGGAAGAGCCACTGCCCCACCCCAACACCTCTCCCAGCTCCTCACGGTTCTCTGAAGCAGGCCTGTCAGCTCGGTGCCCCACCCATTGGATCTCCTTCTAGACGCAACCGCCGAGGAGCAATCCTCCTCTGGACACTCCAGGTCGGAAGGGGCATCTCTCCTACCAGCAGGGCTGGAGCAGATCGTTTAAGAAGCCTCCACACCGAAAAGATTGTGGTGCGCTCTCAGACACTTCTGCCACACATGTAATCCAGAATTCTCTTTTAAGCCTGTGCTTCTTTACCTGTGCTGTAGAGCAGTGGCTTGTACCCAAAATTATGCATGTGAGAGACCAAGTGGAGTTTTTGTTAAGGAGAAGTTCCACAGCTTTCATCGAAGGGCTCTGGGACTGCTCAACATACTAAAGACCAGTGTCTTAGAGTAAGAGATAAAACCTGCACGCCATAGTGCTGACAATACTTTGGATCACTTGCTCTTAAACCGGTGCTTTCTGGAATGTGTTCTAAGAGACACTGGTATTGTAGCATGTTAATTGATGTTCCCCTAGGAAAGGTTCCATGATCAAATAAGTTTGGAAATACAAATGGGTCAAACGGAGCTAATTAGATTTCTTCATAGTGGGACTTCTTCAAAGTTCACTATGATCTATTACTGGAAGTTTCTGAGGGAGAGACAATACTTCTCAGGATTTGCTGTCTGCATTACACTCTAACCCAAATGCCATATTCCTACATGGACAGTTTGGTACATTGCTCCTATAAACAGCATATTTTCTACTGACTGACTTTACAGAACCCATTTGGACAATTGTTCTTGCCTTGCCTTTGGTCTTAGACTCAGGATTTGGGTGATAACTAGTCTTGGAGCACTCTTGGGTTCCTAGGAATCATGACTTCTGGTCAGAGGGATGTACCTGGAATCACAGGCTATTGGTGTGAAATCCAACTTGTGTTTTGTTTGGAAAAGAAATGTTTTGTTTTGGAGCTCCAAGATAGTGACTGGCTGGCGAGGTGTTGCGGTGGCAAACAGGGTGAGTTGAGGATACACGAGGATGCCATCTTCTGACCTATTGTTCTGTCCAGGGAGGAATTTAAGATGGCCATGGAAATTCAACTCCTAGGAAAAGCAGACCCCAAACATCATAAGCAGATGAAAGAGAAGAGGATGTTAAGTAGCTAAAACGGTGGACATAACTTATCCATTATGGGACTCAGAGGGTACAGTATCCTCCTTGGAGTTCAACAGGCAGGACTCCCCTTCTCCCCCTGGAGCATAGGTGTGCACAGGCCTGGAGCCTTCTCATTCTTCTGCCCTGCCCATGAGGCCCTGATCATTTTTCATGGCTCCTCAGTCCTCCCTGGGGGCCCTGAAACACACAGCCTTTTTCACAGAGCTGCGGAGTGTAGTGTTAATTGAGCTATGAGAGGGTACAGTTCCAGGAATTGGTAGGCACTGATAGCTGATTTTGGTGATGGTGAAGAAGGTGGATGTTAACATCCTGAGTTCACCAGGGAGCTCTATTTAGGGCTGTACCAGAGGTAACAGGTATAACTAAATCCCAAGTAAACATATCCCAAGTCTTAACTAGGCTGAAGAAGTTTCAAAAGACAACTTGATCTTTAATGCTCTGACCCTCTGAAATGGCAGTGAACTGAAAGCCAGAGGGCTCTTCCTGGGATGGTAAGGAAGCCTGCCCCAACCTTTGGGCAGTGTTCCCTCTGAGCAGAGCCATGCACTGGTTTAGGAAGTCCTGACCCTGTAAGGACAGTGTGATTACCAGAAACCCAGAAGAATTGTCCAGCAGGCAGCGGAACCGACAGACAAAGCTTCTCTCCAGATAGGAGGGGTCCTCCAAGGGCTGATGCTGCAGGCTGTCAGTGGAGGTATCACTAAGTGAGAGAAACTTCTCCCCACGCAGAGCTGAGAGGACAGAGAGACAAATGAGGAGGCTCCACCAGAATAGTCATCATCACAGAGCTGAAACATCTATAGTTCTGGAAGAAGCTGGTGGGTGGAGAGAATGTGGGGTCACAAGCACTGTGGCCAAGTGAAGTTGGGTCTTCACCAGTCGGATGAGCTTGATCAGCCACTCAGGCTGATCTTCTCATTTGTCAGATGATACTAGCAGTCCTGCCTGCTGACCTGCCTTATGGTGTCCCGAGGAGCAAGATAAAAATGAAGTGATGCATATAACATATATCCAGCAACCCCATTGGCTCTACTGTGGAAACATACCTTGAAGCCAACCACTTCTCATCACTTCTGTCTCTACTGTGCTGGCCAGTCTCCTCGTTATCAGCTGGGCAGAACACCTTGGTGGTTAAGAGCACAGACCCTGGACCCTGACTGGAACTTCACCTGTTGTGTGACCCTGGAGAAGTTATTTAACCTCTTTATGAGTCTTAGTTTTCTTATCTCACTTTATAAGGTTATGATGTGAATTAAATTTATATACATAAAGGACTGCGAACGGTGCCTGGCACATTGTAACCTCTATATAAATTGACTGTTATTCTCATCATTTTTTTTCTTGCCTTAACTTTCCCATAGCCTTCTAACTGGTGTCCCTGCTTCCACCCTTTCTGCTTACAGTCTGTCCTCCACTCAGCATCGAGAGTGACATTAAAATATAAGTCAGATCATGTCACTTCTCTGCTCAGAACTCTCCAGTGACTTACTACCTCAAAGTCTGTAGTGGCCTGCATGGCCTACCTGTTTCCCCCTGGCTCCCCAGCAATTTCCCACCAGTCTTCCCTTGGCTCTTTCTGTGCCCTTCTCTGTGGCCTCCTTGCCATTCCTTAGCTGTGCTAAGTGCACTTCTGCCTCAGGGCCTTTGCACCTGTGCTCTTCCTTCTTCCTGCACTGCTCTCCTCCATTTATCCACATTTCTCTAAATGGCAGCATGCACACCTCATAACTTTTCTCTCTCCTTACTTTAGTTTTTTCTTGGCACTATACCCCACCAGAAATGGTACATGTTTATTTTTTTACACCCTTCCCCTGTTAAAATTTAAGCTCCATCACAATAGGAACTTGGTCATTTTGCTCGCTGCTCTATCCTTAATGCTTAGAACATAGCCTGGCACATAATAGTGATGGTGCTCAGGGCAAGCTACCCCAGGAAGCACCACTCTGGTATGCGGATTATTTCGAGCTGAAGACAATAAGGACTCAGAGAACTCAGGAAGAATATTTGAGTTTCCCCTCCCAAACTGCCTGAAGAATTTAAAACAAAAGATCTGTTTCAGGAAGGAGTTATTATCATGACTGCTATAAAGATAATGTAGGATAGAGGTTACAATAGAAAAGGCACCAACAAGCCCATCTTATCGGAAGTTCTGCCTCTCTGGCCACAGGCTCTGGATGGCCCTGCGAGGAGTTACCAGACAATCATTTACAAGGGAAGTCTCCATTTATAAAGGTATCTCCCTCTCTGTATTGGGAAGAGGGGGGATGACCTCATTTCTAGAGACTTATCAATGTGGAAGGTGAGGCCTTAGAACTGCATAATAAACCTTACTCTTGTTTACAGTGCTTTAGTGATAATCACCTGTAACTGACACGCCCACCCCCAACATCCTCCTTGTCTTTGTTTGGACATGGTATTTAAGATGAGAATTTCTGTTATTGTGTTGAGAAACGCAGTGTCCCTGCTTTCTCCCATGTATACATGTTATTAAACTTGGTATTATTTTCTCCTGTTAACCCGTCTTGTTAATTATTTGGCCAGCCATAAGAACCTTAAAGAAAAGGACAGAGGGAGATTCTCCCTCTTCCCCTGACAATAGGCACTCAGTAAACATTTGTGAACTGAAGGACTGAACCAAATGTGGTAGAAATGCTGATTTTCTCATCCTTGTTTTCTACAACAGATTTCAGTAATGCTATGCACAGAAAAGTGACGAGATAGTCTCCCCTACCTAGAAAAAGCACTTTTGTGGAGGATGCTGCTTTCACCTTTTTTGAAGTGCTGGTTCAGCCTCCTCTCTCTCCCAGCCCAGGAGTTTGTAGGGAAGTCTTCTCAAAGGGTAATAAGAGAAAAACCAAACTCTTGGGATTAAAAATAAAAGGACCATCTAAACTTCATTAGAAAGTCAAGGATGAAAAACCAAATCTATTCTCTTTTGCTGTTGTGGGAGATCAAGATTTGGCCACCCTGAAATATATCTCTTTACCTCGATTGTTTCCTCTGACGGACATTTGACCTCCCCCACTAACTGCCTAAAGAATTTGACATAGTAACTCTTCCCTGCAACAGATCTTCTATCTGATGGCTGTAATATAATGTAAAATAGATGTTGCAATAGGAAAGGCACCAACAAGCCCACCTTATCAGTTCTGTCTCTCTGGCCACATTCTCTGGATGGCCCTGGGAGGAGCTGCCAGACAAACATTTACATTTATAAGGGAAATCTCCATTTGTAAAGGTATCTCCCTCTCTGTATTGGGAAGAGGGGGGACGACCTCATTTTTAGAAACGTATCAGTGTGGAAGGTGAGGCCTTAAATCTACATAATAACCTTATTCTTGTTTACTGTGCTTTAGTGGTAATCTCCTGTAACTGACTCCCCCCCCCAACATCCTCCTTTGTCGTTGGCTGAACATGATATTTAAGACGAGAATTTCTGCTATTGTGTTGAGAAATGCAGTGTCCCTGGTTTCTCCCATGTATATATGTTATTAAACATGGCATTATTTTCTCCTGCTAACCTGTCTTGTTAATTATTTGGCCAGCCATAAGAACCTTAAGGAAAAGGGCAGAGGGGGATTTTTCCTTTCTCCCCACACTGTAATTCTCAACCTGACAGGTCAGATTATATTTATATTTACACTGATGGTTTTCCTTGTGTCACATGAGAATTTGACTTATCTACACTTAAGTTCTGCACAAGAATAAAATAAGAACAGGCTTACAATAGCTTAGCAACCCTGAATGTTTTAATGGGAGGAATGAAGGGAGGATTTAATCAGAGTATGGTCTGATAAATTTTATTACTGTTCTTTCTTAATGTCCTGTAGTGAAGCCCCTAGCACCATGTCTGGCACATGGTACACTCTCAATAAGTGTTAGAAAGTCTACATCAACTTGAATTTGGTTTAGGTGGATAGTTTTTAGATGTTTTTTGGCATATTTATTGCACTATTATTAAAGTTCTACTTGTCTTTTGAAGAATATTGTCATGCATACATTTATAAACATGTAGGTAGACTGCAATATGGTTTCTGCTACTGCAGGGATGTAAGGGTATAAAAGAAATTTAAAAACATGAAGTTATATGCAAAATTTCAGAGTATCCATTGTTAACAACATAATTCAAACTTGCTAGTGTCATTTTTGACTATGGTTTAAAATCCAGGCCTCACATACCACAGAATTTGTGCTGATAAAAATGGATAATTTTGCATTTTAGAATTTGCCTATTTAAAGATGCTACAGGATTTGCTAGATTTAAATTTTATTTCCTAAACTGCCAAATGAAGGAAAGAACATATAACACTCTTCCCAAGTGGACATGGAAATTCCATTCAATATTTTATTTGGGGTTTGGGAAAAAGAATGGAAAATTCCAAGGAAGTGGAAACGAGAATTATAATGGTATATAAAGGTCACCACATGGTTTGCTGCCTCCAAGTATGTTATTCACACCTTACATATAAGATAAGGCATAAATAGAAATGATGGAAACATACTAAAAATTCTTTTGAATGACTTTATTTGTATGTATTTGACTACAAAGTGCTATGAATGAAGTAAGACAATTTGGAGTACTTTTGCCCTCACTGTCTTTTGAACAAGTGCCAAGAACTGTTCATGCATAGCTATTCAATTAATTAAAAAATCTGTTGAGGGGGCTGGCCCAGTGGCGTAGTGGTTATGTTTGTATGCTCTGCTGTGGCGGCCTGGAGTTTGCAGTTTCAGATACCGAGTGTGGACCTACATACTGCTCATGAAGCCATGCTGTGGCAGTGACCCGCATACAAAATAGAGGAAGATGGGCACAGATGTTAGCTCAGGGCAAATCTTTCTCAAGCAAAAAAGGAAGATTGGCAACAGATGTTAGCTCAGGGCCAATCTTCCTCACCAAAAAAAAGAAAAAAAATCTGTTGGGTTATTATTGACAATTTTTAAAGTATTCTCAAATATTTTAGATTTACATATGAAAATACAGTTGGAACAGGAAGTTATTACTTTCACTAAGGAAGCAATGAAATGAATATAAGGATCCACTAGGTCAGAGGCAGTGGTGGTGCAGAAGCTAGAGAGCTGAGGGGACTGGGTTGTTGTTGTTGTGTCTTGGCCTTAGACCACCTCAGTGGCTTTAGAAAGGTCCCTGCTCCACTCTGTAGCCTTGTTTCCAGAGCTTTGAGACAGAGGGGTTGGAGTAGATGCCCACTAAACTCCACAGCCCACACTGAACCTCAGATCTCTGTTCCTTTCCCTTGACCCTGGCCAGTCACTATGGACAGGGGTGGAGGCACAGAAAGAGTCCACACAGAGGCACAAAGCTCAGTGCTGAGCATGAGGTTCCTGCCTCCAAGTTGCTGATAATCTGGTGGGAAAGAAAAAAGAAAGTAAAGAATGTTTCGTGATAACTAACTGTACCCTACTGGACTTAGGGCTGGTCTCATGTGGAGTGTCTGAACTGGGGCAGGCTTTGGAGAGGGAGGACTAAAACCACCACAGCAGCCAAAGCTGAACCGAACTACAGCTGAGTCTTACAAAGTTATACAACCATACCTTCTAGTCAGTCTTGTAAGTTTATTCTTTTTAGTATTTTAGGCTCTCTACCACAAAAAGGATAGCATTATTAGGGTGCAAACATTGGCACATGGCCTCATTTTTTTCTAAGTGAAATCTCTGTTTTTTGAGTATTTCATTCTTTTCTGACCATCCTTCACAACAAAACAGGGACGAGTCTGTCCTTGTATCCTGTGTGGGTGCATTAAATCATTCTAAATCCTTGCAGAGGGGACCCGTATCTGGACTTACAAAGTGACATTTACTTGTAAATGACAATATTGCCTTTTGCCTATGCTTTCCCATCAGTCATCAGAGTAACACATGCTCAGGGCGTAATGGCCACCCCTCCTGTATACTCATCAGACGCTCAGATGCGAGTCCCCTGCCAGCCTGAACTTGGTTCAGGGGACGGCACCTGCCTGGGCAGGCAGGATGTTTACTTCAGCACAAGTCCTATCACTCACCAGTTGGATCCATCTGGGCAAGCCTCAGTCTCCTCATTGTACATTCATTCATTCCAGCAACTACTATTCACTGAGTGCTCTCTTTGTCTCAGGCACTGTTCTAGGCACTGGGAATACACCAGTGAGCAAGACAGTCACAATCCCTTCTTGCATCCTACTCGTATTAAAAACAACATAAATTCATTCTACATGGTTGTTTTCCAGTTACCAGGAGAATCACTTGAGGTCACAGACATGAGAGGGATCTGAAAGATGCAGATGCCAACACACAGGGCCTCATTCCTGATGCAGCTCTCTTTACTGTCTTCCCCTCACGTACCTGGGACTTAGTGAGCACTCGATCAGTACTTAATGCAAGATACATTCAAGCTGAGAAGGTCTAACTTCCTGGTCTGATTTCTTCCTTGTGGACTGTAAGGGTTGAAGCACAGGTGCAGGGTTGACTTTGTATTCGAACCCTTTCCCTCTGAGCCTTGGGGACTTACAGTGGGTGTCCTGCTCCTCTTCTCTGCCGACAGGTGCTGTGTCTGAAGGCCAGCATAATTGGCTCTGGAACATGGCTCTGTCCTCCTTGTGGATCAGCTCGAACACGCTCTGATAGATGACATCTGACTGCAAAGACCAAGGGCAGTGTCACACTCCCGGGGCAGCTGCCTGCCTTCCTGAGCCAGGTGTGATCTGTTCACCTCAAATGTCCCTGAGCCCTGTCCAGCCCCTCTGACACCTTCCAGGCATCTTGGACTCACCTGTCTTTGTCCCTCCCTATCCTAGGGGCTGGCTGGTGCACTCTGCTCCTGTTTCCCTTGTGGTAGATCAATATTTGACCACCCTGAAATATATCTCTTTACCTTGATTGTTTTCTCTGAGGGACATTTGACCTCCCCCACTAACTGCCTAAAGAATTTGACATGGTGGCTCCTTCCTGGAATGGATCTTCTATCATGATGGCTGTAATGATAATGTAAAATAGATGTTACAATGGGAGGGGCACCAAGCCCCTTTTATCAAAAAACTCTATCTCTCCCTGACCACATTATCTATAGATGACCCTAAAAAAAATTGTCTTCTTGCCCTCTGAAGTCCCAGACCACTACCCACCCCCAACACCTCCCTCGCCTTTAGCTACAATACTTAAGCAAGCAGCTTAGACAGACAGACGAGTTGCTCATTTCTGAGTTTCTCCCATGTATACATGTTATTAAACTTGGTATTATTTTCTCCTGCTAACCTGTCTTGTTAATTATTTGGCCAGCCATAAGAACCTTAAGGGAAGGGGCAGAGGGGGACTCTCACTCTCTCCCCACACCCTCCTCTGGTCTTGCACAGCCCATCCTCCAAGACCACTGCTGTCCCCAGACCCAGATAATATCGCATGAAGTGAACACTGCCATGGTGTTGGAGGCCATGCCTGTACTATGTCTTGAAAAGGGTGGTGGTTCTTGGGGCCAGTGGGAAGGAAAGAGTGACCGCCTAGGAGACAAGTCACAAATCAGTAGCAGGGAGACGCCCAAGATGGGGGACACCCGTACGAAGCTACTGGAATAGCCTCTGCAGTTGGCTTGAAGCTCTATGGAAGGAGAATGTTGAGTTTCCCTGGAAGCCAGTCATTAGCTTTTCCAGACAACAAAGTCAAACTGAATGAGAACGAAAGTCTCACTTCTAGGGAGATCCAAGTTTGTTCTGTCATTTGTTGAAGGAGATGAGGGAATATAAATGCTAACGTAATCTCAAAAGAGATGGGTCTAGCTATATAGCGATTTGAACATGAACAAGAATTAAGGTATCCTGTCCTCACACAGATTTTGCATATTTTACACATAACCAGAATGTTAAATAGTCTTCAAACCACTTTGCCTTAAGGATTCTTAGCGTATTCCTTGTAAATCAGGCAGGTTTAATTAAAATAGAATGAGTCTCCCCACCCTCACTTATAGTTAATAATTTGTTAAGTTGTTATCTATTTGGGTATAGTTTGGGATTCTTCTTGACCTTCTGAGAGGAATTAAATGCTGTTGAAAGTTTTCTGTCAGCAATAAAAAAATTTTGCTGGACCAAATTCTGTCCAAAATAAGTGATATTCTTCTTCACTCTTCCCCTGCATCCCCCACCCCACACACAGCGTGATCTTCAGGAGACTGTTGTATATAACCATTTTCTGCCACCAAACTCAGGGAAAACCAGTACACAGTATGGTGATAAATATTTACAAAGGTCTGCTTTCTAATCTTTGAAAAGACAAAGACACTGAGGGGCTTGGCAATGGGCCTGCAGGCTGGAAGGAGGGGAGGGCAGGTCCCCACATTACGAGGAAAGTCTGAGGGGAAGTAACAGAGCAGAAGGGTTTAGGAAAACATTAATGGATCTTGAGGGATTGCAGCACGAGGGCTGAGGCCAAGGGAGGTGGGCTTCAGAGGGACCACCAGGGCAAAATAGAAAAGACAGCTTGGAGGAGTGCTCCCTGCCTCTACCTGGTGGAGCCACGCACAGTTCTGGTGGGCTGGAGGGCTGAGGACAGAGGCAGAGCCCTTGGCGGGGGCTGCTCCTCCTCTGTGAGCCTGATTTCTCCCTTTTTTACCCTACTTGCTGGCATTTCTCCTGCAGCTCTGCTCACTGCTCCTGAGGCTCCGAGGTAGAAGAGCATCCCAGCACAGCAGCACTTCCTCTCCTAACACCACCCTGCACAGAATGAGGCGCAGAGGGCCCAGAGTGTTTCTCTGAGATGAAGGGCTTTGGACAAGTTTGTTTTTATCTTTTGGAAGCTTTTTCATACAGGAGTCCTATCCCTGAGTCTTCCTCCACATCATGGTGTCTTCAGCAAGGACAAGTGAGTAAGGAGGCCAGACGTGGATGGTGCAGGTGTGGCGAGCATGGGGGCCTCAGGTCTGTCTTTGATACAAAACTCCTTCTCAGGTTCACAGCTGAAAACCAGATACAGCATAATCATACTGACTGATATCTTTTTCTAAAGGAAAGGTGAAAAAAGACTGTAAAACTTCTCAGCATTTGTCTTCTCCTCACAAGTTAGGAGGTAAGTCCCAGAGCCAGCGTCGGGCACGCTGCGTGCTGCATGGGCCCCCAGGTGGCCATGGGAATGCGCGAGGGGTGGAGATGGAGGGATCCGGGGTATCCTTGTTCCTCGATTTCAGAAAACCCCCTGTTGCCGCGGGCCTTTTACAGACCCCTCCCCCTGCACTCTTGGTGAGCGATGCACATGCAGGAGCAGTGCTGTGTTTCAGTCCACAGGGCAGTTCTGTGAGGCACGGAACGTCTTCCCGCGGTGGTGGCCATGAAAACGCCCCCTCAGATCTACAATAGCAGGGAGTGAACCAAGGGCATCCCCAGCTGCTGCCGCTGAAATCCACCATGGCCCTGACTCCAAGGCAGGCCTGTCCCTGGAGACAGGACTTCTCTGACAGGGAGCTTGGCCTTGAGGGCTCCCCTTTGTCCTTGTCAGACTTCCTTAGAGCTGTACTGCAGTCTAACCCTCCACCCCACCTCCCTCCTCCACGAAGGTCTGATCAGAATTCTCAGGGCCCCAGGAAACGGGGCAAACCCGTTGCTTTGTTGGCTCTTTGAAGCTGGAAAAAGCCAGTGGTCAGTAAAGAGGTAATATTGAGTTGTCCTGGCAGATGGCAGAGGAAGGGACAAAGGAGCTGAGGGGAAGGGGTGTGCCTGAGTGATGCATTTTGTGAGTGCAGAAGACCCACTGGAGATTACATACCATAGGAGGGCCTGGGGCACCCCACTCACCAAGGCCACCAGAGTGCACTTGTGGAGGGCACCAGCATCACTGAGAGGTTTGGTGGTAGGTGACTGTCCTCTGCAGGTCAGGGATGATGGTAGGATGGAAGTCATTGAGCTGGGCTCAGAAGAGCTGGCTCATTAATATCCATAGAGATGATGGAGCCCGGAAGTAACAGAGGCCAGGTGGCAGAACTTATTTACCAGAAGCCAGCAGGCTGCAATGACAGTGATGACTGACAAGGATGAAGAGGTAATCAAGGGGGCGTGGCCCATAAAGAGTTGTGGGGACGGTTAATAGAGCATGGTGTCCCTAGGGGCAAAAGAGATGGGCAGCCAACAATGGCACTGCTTAGCATCTACAATTAAAAAAAAAGGCAAGAATGGAGAGTCAGGGGGCTGAGGGCTGTCACCTCGATGAGAAGTGACAATCTCTTGCTCAGTTTCTGGGCCTGATACAATTTTCAGATCTAGAATCCATTGATAGAAGAGGTGGCAGTTTCCCTAGGAGGAAGGGCTCTGCAGCGCCATGGCAAGATATTTACTCAGGTGACCATACCTCCTACCAACAGGCCTCCAAACATCTGGACATTCTCCTTTCCTAGCATATGGCCAGTTGAGTAAATATCTGTAGGCATGTTAGGGAAGGGTGGGGGGTCTCGCAGTATATACTTGCCACCACAGCTACTCCATTATTGCCCCTTGTGCTGGGTCCAGGCAGCCAATGAGGAAGGTTGGCTAATGTCAAGTGGTCCAGTCATTTTGTCCACTTGGTTGTCCAGTGCTCCTTCTACAGTGGGTGCTTTCTGATGGGCACTAATGTGCAACACAAAATCTCCACACTTGATGTCCCCCCCTTGCCCATCTACATGCCCTGTCAGATGTCCTTGTCTCAAACCTTCCAATGCTTTTCCTTCCAGGCCCCTCACCAGATGGACAGACCAATGGCTGCTGCTCAAGAATCTATATATGTTCACACCTTGGGTCACTCCTCCACACAAAGTGGATGGCCAGGGGCTCTGCTCTCAGTTCTGCTCCCTCAAAGCTGGCAGCATTTTCTACTCTGGGGGAGATCCTGGCATGTCCCTGACCACTGGACCCCTCAAAACCTCCCTGAAGTGTGGATCTCTGTTTTTCATAGGGCTGATCTCCCACCCTCTGAGGCACATGTATTTTAAGGCCCCCAGCACACTAGACTCCTCTCACTTGTCCTGCCTAGTCAGCATGTTGTCACTGTAATGGATCCGTGTTGTGTCCTGGGGGATTTACTATCCTCAATGTGGGGGTGGGGTGGGGTGGGTGGGAGTTCAGGCCCCTTGGCTTTTCCATTATGATATTTCTCACTCCACAGGCCAAAGACCCAGTCTAGGGGCTACTCCAACTTTCCACCAGATCCATTCCAATTATGCACTCAAGGAACAGGTAAATGACCACTGGGTGGGTCCTGGGACTCAGTGGCTTTGCTGTGAGCCAGACTTGAGCTGGCACTTCATGTACTATCTGGACTCCGTAGCCCCCACCCTGACCTGAGGGCCATGATGACACTTCGTGTCTCTGGACTCAGAACCCTCAGGAATGAAGGTTTGGGTCACACCCCAAGGTAAGCCATCAAGATGTGCTGAGGTGATGGTTGAGGGTGAGTGGGATTCAGAATGGAGAGTGGAGGATTGCCCCTTGCTACCCTGAGATCAACTGCAGTTTGTCCACTCATTGAGCTCCCCTCAGGAAGAGAGGCTCATGGGAGCCAAGGGGGAGCTGATCCCCAAACCCATGTGGAGAAGTAGATCTGTGCAGCACAAGCAGTGAGGGTGACAGTCATGACAATGTGCCTCTTGGAGTTCTGACTGAGGGGTGTGTAACGCTGTCCCCTTTGGATCCACCACCATGTTTGCGCTGGGGCCACAATCCCCAGAGGTTGCTTCCAGCCAATGACTGAGCATGGCAGGGGTACCAAGGCAGGCCTGTTCCTGGAGGAGGCAGGACCCCTCTGACAGGCAACTTTGGATTGAGGACGTCCCCTCGGCCATGCTGAATTCCCTCAGAACTGTGATGCAGTTTTTTACCCAATCACATTCCTCCCCAGTCTCCCGCCCAAGGGTCAGACCTGCACTGAGGTGACAGCTCCCCCTGTCTCCCCTCATTCCCCCTCACCAATTTCCTCACAGAATTTTCCCCTAAGGAATCTCTTGCTCATCTCATCCTGCCTTGGCATCTGATGCTTAGAGGACCTGGGCTAACACTCTCTCCACCTGGGGAGGAAGCCAGTGCTTTGGGAAGGTTCACTCAAAGACATACAGCGTGTGTGTGTGTCTTTGAGATGGAGACCCAGGTCTTCAGACTTCCATTATAGCCCCCCCAGAGATCAGCATTACACTGCCTTGCCCCACCCCCAGACTCACCCAAACTCTTCAGCTGAAAAAAAACACTCACTTGATGAAATCCCAAGTAGTCCTGGACAGTGGGAGAGACATAGAGAACATAGCCGTCTTCTGTAACAGCCATAAGGAAGCCGTCGAGGGTCTAGGGGAGGCAGAGAAGTCAGTTCAGCTTTATTCCTTATTTCGTCTTATGTTTTGAGGCTGTGGAGCTCCAGAGGGCCTGGGTCCAGGTTGTGAGGTATTTCTGCTGAGCTTCCTTTTGGTGTGGAGTGCCACCCACATCTTGAGTTGTCACTTCCTAAAGCAGGGCCCAGGAGAGCCAGCTAGTCTGGCTTCTCAAAAATGGTGAATAATGAAAAGCAATAGGATACATTGGAGTCTGTAAGGAAGCCATTTTTTTTAAAACTAATTCAGCCTGATCTTGTTTTTCCAAAAAGGCCCGATGTGGCCTGTTGAGCATGCGCTGTACATCTGCTTTAAACATTTACAATGTCCCAAAGCCAAGAATGATGCCCTTAAAGATAGGGATGTAGATTTCCCCCCATCAGCATTTCTTTAAGGATAAGCATCTCTTCCTAGGAACTAAGGATTAATTACTGAACTGCTGTTCTCACCTTGTGACCACTGAGCTGCTGTACCAGCAAAGCAATCTCATGACTATTATAAAAGGGGCATTCCTATCATATGTGGTGTATGTTCTTTGTTCCAAGATGGTATATAACCACACTGTACACCCCACTTCTTTGGTGTGTTTCCTTCCTTGGGGAAGGAAGCCCCCCAGGCTGTAGTCCTCACACCTGGCCTATATAATAAACTCACCCCAATTTTGACTTATAGCTTGATTATGGATTATTTGCATTGACAACAAGCTCAGTGCAAATATTTCTCACTCACATCAGCTCCTGAGGAAAGGTGAGTGTGTGTGTGTGTGTGTGTGTGTGTCTGTCTGTCTGAGGCAGCAAAGTAAAGCCAAATTTCAGCTTAGACTGTTGAGAATACTGTAAACTGAACAACAGTTAAACAAATACACACACGCATTTTTTTGTTTTCCGCTCTGCATCTCTCTAGTGTGGCCCATCCCTCTGCTAAACCAACCCATTGGAGGCCTCTCCTCATAGGAGATGGACAGAGCAGCTCAATGTTTGCCATTGGCTAAGGTACAAGCTGGGTTCACCTGGGCAGAGTGGCTAAAAATGGTGCTCATTCATCCTCCCACACCTCCTGGGAGCCATCGTATTAGAAACGCCAGGAGCATAAATTTTTAACCATTTTTCCAGGAGATCCTGAGGAGGCATCCAGCCTTAGGACAAGAAAAGTATTTTGGTTGTGGTTGAGATGAGTTTAAATTTTAAGCTTTAAGTCAGAAACCTTTTTGCTATACTCATGTCAGGGAAACACATGCCTATGGTTTGAAGCCACTCCCCAACATTTCCAGGTACAAATTACAAACAAATGCTAATTAGGAAAAATATATTTTTTCAGTGAGTATTTATTGAACATACATGTTCCCAAATCTTAGCCTGAGACAGACAATATGTAAAGTAGCCTTTGGCCTCCAGGAGAAGAGGGTTTACATGGGAGACAGGCTCAGTGGGAGCAGAGCAAAGAAATGACACATGCAGTCAGCTGTGGGTTTTGCAGAGAGAGGCCAGGGCAGTTGGGGCCCAGAGATCATGAGGAAGCTGGGCCAAGAGCCCCAGCAAGGGGCCCCAGCCTGGGATCAGGCCTGCAGGTGGTTTAGTTTGAAGGAAAAGGGTGCTCTTGGGGGTGGGGGGTAGGATGTGTGTGCCAAGTCTGAGGTGCTGAGTGACTTCATGAACTAAGAATAGAAAAAATTGTAAAAGGATAAGTACCAAAATGTTTACAGGAGTTATTTCTGGTGATTTTTGACTATCTTTATAACTTTTCAACTATGGACAAGTTTATTTTTTTAAAAAATCAGGCAACACTGTGTGCTTGTGGATAGAAGGAGATGTGCCTGGGAGGAGCAACAACATTGTGTGGTGGGATTAGGCAGGATTTCAAAACATTCCACCTCCAAGTATCTCCTTTTTTTTTGTTCTGCTGAGGAAGATTTGCCCTGATCTAACATCTGTTGCCAATCTTCCTTTATTTTGTGTGTGAGCTGCTGTCACAGCATGGCCACTGACAGACAAGTGGTGTAGGTCTGCATCCTGGAACCAAACCTGTGTTGCCAAAGCAGGGCATGTGGAATTTAACTGCTAGGCCACTGGGGCTGGCCCAACAAATATCTCTTTTTTTGGTGGGGGGGTGAGGAAGATTGGCCCTCAGCCAACATCCACTGCCAATCTTCCTCTTTCTGCTGAGGAAGGTTGTCATTGAGCTAACATCTGTGCCAATCTTCCTCCATTTTGTATGTGGGTCACCATCCCAGCATGGCTTGATGAGCGGTGTGTAGGTCCATGCCTGGGATCCAAACCCATGAACCCCAGGCTGCTGAAGTGGAGTGTGTCGAACTTAACCACTATGCCACTGGGCTGGCCCCAACAAGATCTCCTTTTAACTGCTATCTGGTCACACCAGGAGGGCGGGCTCTGGGAGCAGCAAATGCCTCAGGAAAAGATGACCAGCAAAAAGAAAGAGGAGACTTCCTGACATTTGTGTTTCAAAGGCCAAGTCTTCAGGCAGAGAAAAGGGAAGGAATTCATGGGTCTAGTCAAGACAACTGCTTGGACAATGCTGGTGACACGACATCAGCACAGCTGCCTGCCCCTGAGACTTAAAAAGGTTCTTGAGGCTGTGGGAGTATAGACAAAGAGAAGTGAAGGAGGCTACATGCCCAGATGTCCCTGAGAAGCTGGGGTGTGGGACACGAGGGCTGCCCACCCCTCATGGAGGATGACAGAAGCATCAGATAGGTTTGAGGTTTGAGGGGCTTTAGAGAAAATATTTTTAGTTTCTGCACAGTTAGCGGCTCTGAGATAACCTTACTGAGACTTGAGAAGTGGGCTGAAGGAGCAAGCCTTATAGAGAGTGAGAACTCCAGAGAGATTTCTCTGACTCTGGAGACATTTGTTTATGGACCTGGGAACATGGAGCCATCCCTGGTTGTAAAGCTGTAGACAGTGGTCTTATCATTCCCCTAGAAAGATTCATTGACATCCCAAATGGTTGGAGTCGTTGTTCAGGATTCTTTCCAAGGTTTTTCTCCTTCCTTTCAGGAGGGGAGGGGAACTGCATGTATATAAATGCCCAGATTCTTAGTTTTTATTCCTTGCCCATAATGTGACTGAACCAAAGTGGGCCCACTTCTTGGTGAGTTGAAATCAAAGCTTTCACCAGAAGTAGTTGTCACAAAAAGTAAGATTTATTTACAGCAAATAAGGAGCCCAGGGGGAATTATTTCCAAAGCTGTGGCTCCCTGAGCACAGGAAGGCAGGGGCCTTTTATTTCAGATGGGGAATGAGTATTCAAAAGGGAGAGGTGGGTATTTGCTTGTGCAGGCTCAGTTGGAAAACGTGCTTCCACATACATCACATGTTATGGTAATAAGGCCTAAGCTCCTCTTGGGGTGGAGACATTAAAATGAAGCAAAGGTAATCCCTTGGGCACTTCTCAGCCCATCTGTACAGACATCCCTCTTGTGGTGGGGTTTGGACCAGTTCAGGGCGGTTGGTGATTGTATCTCCTAACATAACTAAAAAAAAAAAACAGAAAAAAAACTTTGAAAAACAGTTAAGTGCTCCCAAACATCCTCTGAGTTGCTCAGGGCAGTTAGCTGGTGACAATAACACAGGCTTGAGTGAATAGGACAACCTCCACTTTCATCACACTGCCTAGGGGTAGAGAATGGGGGCACAGGGCCACCACATGGTTATTTTTTACATGTAAGTAAATAATAGTTAATCTGTTCTGCTCCAGAAACCTCATGTGTGCATTCAGGTTTATGGAAATATATGAAGACCAACCAAATGAGAACAGCAAAGGCTATTTATTCAGAGCTTGCTGGAGCAAGGGAGTTAGCCACTGTCACTTGAGTTTTGGCAGAGACTCAAATGCAGGCAGAGGAGTGGGAAAGCTTCATAGTGGGGAAAAGGGATGGCTTCAGATACGCCCTGATTGCAGGCTGTTGGTGTGGGGAGGCTGGAGAAGGCTAACTAAAAGTGGGGCCTCCTATGTGATTGGTTAGGGGAACATATCTGGCCTTTTTGGTTGATTGTAAGTTGGAAGCAGTGACAAAAATTGGGAAGCTGTGAGTTATTCATCAAGCCCTGGCCATTCTAGGTGGATTGTTACAGAGGTCATTGTCCAGCTTCCTGAGTTACTAGAGACAGTAGTCTAATTTTCTAAAAGTCTGACTTCCAGCAGGCTGGCTTCCTGGGCTGTCTTTTGTAGACAACGGGTTGGTTTCCTGGGCAGGTTGCTGCAGATTGTTCTATTTTTATATTGCCTGTTTGTATATTCAGTTTCTTAGGATAATATTAATAAAGATAGATGTTTAAAGCTTAATAGTCTCCTTTCCAGGGTAAGACCCAAGAAGTGATTGCTTGGTGAGTCTAGACGGAGGTGCCTGGGACACATCACACTGTTTCCCCAGCCCAGGGTGGGCAGAAGAGCATGAATTATCCTGGACCTCAAGGACACCAGTGGTCAGGAACAGGAGAAGTCAGCAGGGACTGCATGGATGCACATCCAGAGTACAGGAGGGACAGGAACCTCTCGGAAGTTTCCAGCATGGACAACCCCCATCAGATGCCTTCCAGCCCCCTAACCTTGGCTCTATGCAAGTCCCCATGAACTTAGATCAACTTCAAGAAGGACAGAAGGGACTCATGAATTGACAGAGGCTGAAAATATTAATTAAATTTGAGAAAAACAGAGGAAGCTATGGTTCTTGCACGCCTCAGTTTGTGGCCTGAGATGGTCACACTCTTCTGATAATAATGATGAGGGTAACAGCAGCAGCAACAACAACAGTAACAATAATCTTGTGGAAGAACATTACATTCTCTTTTCCTGTTGTGGTTTTAATATATAATTGTATCAGTCGTTGTAATAATTCCTTTGATACACTCAAATTTTATACTTCTCTCGATTCATTGAGCTCAACTGGGTAAATTATCAACCCGGTTAAATTCAGCTTCTGCCTACCCTATGTCTGCACCCTCACAGCTGAATGCG